CATTTGATTTTTTTTGTTCCGGTCTCAACTAGGACGAGCCAGAATCCTGACAAGAGAAAATCAAATAATTCTAGAACCAAAAAAAAAATCTTAAAAAATTACCTGTTACGCCCCTATTTTCAAAATTACCAAAATACCCTTCCAAAAAGTTGTTTTTTGCGCCACTTTTCGCTCCGTTTAAATTCTAGTTGAGCTAAAATCCTTACAAGAGAAAATAAAATGATTCTGGAACTAAAAAAAAGTTCTTTAAAAGTTACTGTTTAGGTCCCTGTTTTGAAAATTACAAAAATACCCTTTTAAAAAGTCATTTTTTGTGCTAGTTTTCGCTTACCTTCTAGTTGAGTGGACATCCTTACAAGAGATAATGATTCTGCAACCAAAAAATAAATTACTTCAAAAATTACAGTTTATGCCTTTTTTCAAAATTACAAAAATATCCTTCTAGAAAGTCGCTTTTCGCGCCACTTTCCACTCTGTTTACCTTCTAGTTGAGGCATCTCTATAAGAAAAAATCAAATGGTTGAACCAAGAAAGAAATCCTTGAAAAATTACGGTTTGCTCCTTTTTCTCAAAATTACTAAATACCCTTCTAAAAAATCATTTCTCGCGCCACTTTTCACTCCGTGTACCTTCTAATTGAGGCAACATCCATACAAGCAAATGACTATGGAACCAAAGGAATTTCTTGAAAAACTATCGTTTACACCCCGATTTTCAAAATTACCAAAATATCTTTCTAAAAAGTCGCTTTTTGCTCCACTCTTCGCTCCGTTATGATTTTAAAACAAGAGTCTACAACATCCCTTCTAAAAAGTCTTTTTTCCAGCCACTTATCACTCTGTTTACCTTCTAGTTGAGCCAACAGCCTTACAAGAAAAAATCAAATGACTATGGAACCCAAAAAAAAAAAAAATCTTCAATTGCCATGGTTTTCAAAATTACAAAAATACTCTTCTAAAAAGTCGTGTGCCACCTTTCACTCCATTTACCTTCTAATTGAGCCAACATCCATACAAGAGAAAATCAAAAGATTCTAGAACTAAAAAAATTTCTTCTAAAATTATTGGTTACGCCCCCTTCTTAAAAATTATCAAAATACCTTTATAATAATTATTTTCCGTGCCAATTTTCGCTCCATTTATCTTCTAATTGAGACAAGATCCATGCCAGAGAAAATCAAAAGATTCTCGAACTAAAAAAATTTCTTCAAACATTACTAGTTACACCCCCGTTTCAAAATTACCAAAATACCCTTCTAATAAGTCATTTTCGTGCCACTTTTCTCTCTGTTGCTTTCTAATTGAGCGAACATCCTTACAAGAGAAAATCAAATGATTCTAGAACCCAAAAAAAAAATTCAAAAATTACCTTTTACGCCTCTATTTTCAAAATTACCAAAATACCCTTTCAAAACGTTGTTTTTCGCGCTACTTTTTGCTCCGTTTACCTTCTAGTTGAGCCAACATCCTTACAAGAAAAAATCAAATGATTCTAGAACAAAAAAAAATCTTCAAAAATTACCATTTACACCCCTATTTTCAAAATTACAAAAATACCCTTCTAAAATGTCGTTTTTTTCGCCACTTTTGGCTCCGTTACCTTCTAATTGAGCCAACATCCATACAAGAGAAAATCAAAAGATTCTCGAACTAAACAAATTTCTTCAAAAATTACTGGTTACGCCCCTATTTCAAAATTACCAAAATACCCTTCTAATAAGTCATTTTCTGTGCCACTTTTCGCTTCATTTACCTTCTAGTTGAGCCAACATCCTTACAAGAGAAAATCAAATGATTCTGGAACAAAAAAAAATTCAAAAATTACCATTTACGCCCCTGTTTTCAAAACTACAAAAATACCCTTCTAAAAAGTCGTTTTTTGGGCACTTTTTCCTCCATTTACCTTCTCATTCAGCCAACATACATACAAGAGAAAATAAAATGATTGTGAAATAAAAAACCGTCATGCCTATGTTTTCAAAAATTACCAAAATACCCTTTTAAAAAGTCCTTTTTGGGCCACGTTTCACTCTGTTTACTTTCTCATTTAGTCAACATAAATACAAGAAAAAATCAAATGAGTATGGAACAAAAAAAAATTTGAAAATTACCGTCATGCTCCTGTTTTCAAAATTACGAAAATACCCTTTTAAAAAGTTTTTTTTGGGCAACTTTCCCCATTTACCTCCTCACTCAACCAATATCCATATAAGAGAAAATAAAATTATTGTGAAAAAAAAAATTCTTTGAAAAGTACCATCATGCCTTGTTTTCAAAAATTACCAAATACCATTTCTAAAAAGTCATTTTTTGCGCCACTTTTAACGCTGTTTATGTTCTCATCAAGCGAACATCCATACCAGAGAAAATCAAATGATTCTAGACAAAAGTAAAATTACTTCTAAAAACTACTTCAAAAAATTACAATTATGCCCTTTTTCAAAATTACCAAAATACTTTTTGAAAATTGGCTTTTCCTTTTGCAAAAATCTAGAAAAAAAAAGGCAAATAATCCGTTTACCTTCTCCTTTGTCCAAGATCCATAAAAAATTGTAAACAAATGATTTTATAACAAAAAAAATTATTAAAAATTACAATTAGCTCTTTTTAAAAATTACCAAGAATATTCTATTGAAAATTTTGGGCTTTTGTGCTTTACGTTCTTCTTTTGCCAACCTTCATAAAAAATAATAATAAATAAATAAGGACAAATAAATTATCTCATAACAAAAAGAATTCTAAAAAAAATGCAATTAAAAAATGTTGAGAGGTCACAAATATATGTTATTTGAATATGGGTCAAAAGTCCAAATTAAAAATTGTTTGGGTAAAAATACCAATTTCCCAAGTTCTGGTCACTAGTCAGGAATCAGGGTTCTAGGGTTCATTCATATTTTAAGAGGGGAGGGAAAGAAAGAAAAACAAAAAACAACGCAAGCTTTTGAAATGGGGTTTCATTTCTGCAGTGAAATGTCACAGTACTTAAAAGCCAAAAGTTTCTTTCCCTTATTTCACCTTTTTCCCTTTTCTTCTGTTCGCTTTGTGGATATAGGTCCACTAGCTTTTGTAAACCAATACGGCCACCAACAATGCCTCCACGTGATGTCTCTTGGACTTTTTGACGGTGTAACTTGTAAGTCGAAATTCCAATATATTTCCTCTGACAATGCCTTCATTTACCTTCATTTACCGTATTGCTTTTGTAAACCAATACGGCCACCAACAATGCCTTCATTTACCGTTGTTTTAACTATAATTACTTGTATAACTAATATATTATTCAGTTTTCCTTTTTTTTTGAAAAATATAGTTATCTATTGGTTGATTGTAATCACTAATATACATTCATTAACTGCAATCATTTATACACTTTGTTTAAATGGAATTATTGATTAGCTGTATTCTGATTTTGGGTTATATTGACAAATATCTTTTGGGTTCTATTTTAGTACTTTTTCACTAGGCTATATTATTTTACGAATACCCTTTTATATTATTGACGTGAAATTAAATAATTCTATTTATTGGATAATGCATCTCAATCACCCGGAGGATGTTGTAAGCGTGTAATGGACACTTGCTAATTTAGAATCAACAAGACTCGTTTGAGAATAAACAACTTCACTTGTATTGAAAAATTTCTCACAAAATATACACTTGGTTCACAAACTCTCTCAAACTCACTTGTTTTTCTTCTCCACATACTTGCTTGAAATACAACAAGAGATCATCCTATGAATCTATACATACATGAACTTATCTTGAATGTACTAGTTCATGTACATGTATCATGTATCTAGAAATGTATATGCATAATGTATCTAGAATAATACATGTTTAATTTTCAACCGAGGAAACACAAAAAAGAAAAAAAAAAGGTAATATAATCTTTAGGCTGATTTCTTCTAATGTAGAATTGCTATGTATCATATCTGAACGTTCTAAAGCAATATAATTTAGAGTTTTCATCCGATTCACCTTTTTCATATTCAAGGCATATATATTATGCTAGAGATGAGCGATTGGGGAAGAAGATTTGGGCTAGTTCTTCTGTGCCTCCATTAAACGATTATTTCTTTTAAATCTGATGAATAAATCAAATCACTAGTGATTTTTTTATACAAAAAAAATTAAGAAATGCGACATGGAAAAGAATGGGAGAGTCTGCCACGTATGTATATCATATTATATATTAAACAAGATAGGAATGATGTGCCATCCTTTCTTCCCATGCCAAACTTCACAAATTCCTTATTCCAAGATATATAGATGTATAAATTATTAGATAAGAGCCCGCACCATACTCCTCTTTTATTGGTTTTTAGAAAAGATGGTTTTGTGTGCGACTAAAGTCCATTAGAAGGAGAGGAAGAGAGCAAGGGATAACATATCAATAATTATGATGATATAAAAAGCAAAATTATGAAGGCTTATGTATCTGACAATATCTTATCAATAAAGAGATCAATCGAGGATCTTTTGTCGGTTACAAGTGGTACCGAGCCTCTTTTGGTACCAAACAAAAGTAGCGAGCCTCGAGAAATCCGTGGTTTGAGCTATTGGACAGACGATATGCTTTGGTGAATAGGAGTTGCGTCCGATTAAATGTGAATGTGCATGACTGATTGTCCTTATCAAGTAATATATCAAAGCCATATTTTTGACTTAGCCATGTGGGTAGAATCCTTGGATACCTAATAAAGTAGCCAACCTCGATGACATGGTCATGAAAATCCATAGTTGAGCTATCCAACGAACGGTATATCCATAGTTAAATAATGTGATATGCACATAATATAAGACGCGAATGGATAACTGTTTGAAGGAAGACTTGACAATGTCATAAAAGGTCTATGATATATAAGTGATGGACAAAACATCTCTATAAATATAAGATATTTTGGGTGATATCAAAAGCAAATCTTTTTTGTTTGTAAGGTGCTTGATAATAAAAAAAATAAGATAAATGCAAGGTAATATTTACTTTCAAATTCAATTTAGTCAAACACAAGTCTTTGGATAGTGTTATTCTATGAGATTTGAAATTTTAAAAAAACGAGCTTATGGTATTTCTCGCCTCAGCTCCATTCATTTTTCCAAACTCAAATTAATTGCAATTGAGTGTAAATATATGTATTGATGTTCATATGTAACACCAAACCAAAAGCTTAAAAAGGGAAACACAGATGGTCAAAGGGACAAATTAAATGTCTGACAAAATTGGTGTAGTGTCAGACTGGGGAAATGAAAGCACTGAATTCTTCTCATAGTCATCATTCATTTGGGGGATGGGGAGGGGGCGCTTATACTGGTAATTCTTTCTTCAACTCAGAAATGGATCTCTGTGTAACACTGTAAAAGCTAGTTTTCCAGTGTGGAAAGAAACAGTACGTAACAGAAACTTCAACTAAGGTTCTCACAAAAATATAACCAAGAAAAGATGAGACCCTCTCACTAAATCTGGTGACAAGTATATATTTTATGGAATATTCTTTAAAATGGTCATCCATTTATAATATCTGAAAGCTAAATAAAAAAAATCAAAATCGACTAGAAATCACACCCAATTTTTACCAATAATACAAGTTTAATTTCAAATAGATTTCCAAAAGTATGCAATGATAACCGATTAGTGAATGAACGTGTGTCTCCTTAAAAACATGAAATGTACATCCGTGGGCAAGTTGATGAACGACAAAAGCATTTCAAGTTAATAATTAGGTGAAGATATTTTTATTATAATACAGTAAAAAATTATATAGTTTCTTAAACTTCTCAGGTTTTATTGTTGTAAACCATTTGCCCTATTTCGGAAGGGCTGATTTGACACCTTATGTAGTAATTAATATAACCCATCTCCCTCTCACCTACAAAAATTGCTCCCAACAAGCGGATATAGTAATGAGCGATACGGCCGTTCAAAAATCAATAAAAGACTACAAATACACTACTCAGTACACATTATGTTGTCTGAGAATAACAAGGTTTTTGTACACTGAGAATAACATAGTTCATAATTGAGGTTGAGGAAGAGAATAAAAAGGTCGGAGCTTGAGTGAGAGAGAGATTGGTAGGGTTTATATAAAGAAGGTTGGCGATGTTTGATTTTTCCTCTCTCTGAGAAAGAGAGAAAGAGAGAGAGAGAGAGATTCACATTTGTAAGTGTGATGGAAGAACATCTAAGCCCATTAGCTGTGACTCATCTTCTTCAACATACGCTGAGAAGTTTGTGCATCCATGAAAACTCTCGGTGGGTTTATGCAGTGTTTTGGAGGATACTGCCAAGAAATTACCCTCCACCCAAGTAAGCACAAATCAACGACTTCAACTTTAACTGCAATCATATATGAGTCTGTGTTCTCACGCCGATTACTTCCATTGTCTTCATAGCAGATGGGATGGTCAAGCTGCTTATGACAGATCAAGAGGGAACAGAAGAAACTGGTACTTTTCAGTTTTCCTAGTCCTATGTGCATTTATTATATATGCGGCCACACTAGATTTGGCACTTTTTACGAACATATGCAAAAACATTGAGAAATGGCAGGATACTTGCCTGGGAAGATGGTTTCTGCAACTTTGCCGCGTCGTCGGCTTCTGAGCTCAACTCCGGCGGCGGCGATTTCCCCAGTTCATCTTCAGCCTATATTGGCAATTGTGAGTTCCAACGCTGTCAGGGACTTCAACCAGAGCTCTTTTTTAAGATGTCTCATGAGATCTACAACTATGGAGAAGGGCAAGTATTATAAGAAGCTAGTGGTCCATAAATTCAATGAATTTTTCCTCTTCTCCTCAGCTCATGCTAATTGCATTCCTGATCATGATCACATAGTTTAATCGGAAAAGTCGCGGCAGACCATAGTCATAAGTGGATTATCAAAGAACCAAATGATCAAACAATAAACTTCTTGACGTCGTCATGGCACCATTCAGCTGCAGACACAGTATGTATTAAGCATCTTTCTTGTTCCTAGTTTCTCATTTTGCATCTCTTCAAGTAAACAAGAACTGAGGATCAATCATCCATTTTAACTAATATTTGTTGCTCCCGCTCACTGATTTTGCAGCAACCAAGAACTTGGGAAGCACAGTTTCAATCCGGCATAAAGGTATACTTGACTAGAGGACTCAATTTGAATCTTGTAGCTAGTTTTTCAATAGATCTAATTTTCTAGTATCGTTCGTCTCTGTTAAATAATCCATTGTCTTGCAGACCATAGCTCTTATAGCGGTTCGAGAAGGAGTCGTTCAATTAGGAGCTATTCACAAGGTTCTCTCTCTACTTAAAAAGTAATATATACATCATGGCTTTAGGCTAATATTAGTGACAGTTTGATACTTACTTTCCTGATAACTTAATAAATATTAAAGGTGGTTGAAGATTTGAGCTATGTGGTGTTTTTAAGAAAGAAATTCAACTATATAGAGAGCATTCCGGGTGTGCTTTTGCCACACCCGTCATCGTCATCGTCATCGTCACTATACCCTTTCAAGGTTGATGGGTTTGGCAGCTCAGATATATGGCAATTCTCTGGAGGAGTAGGAAACCCACCTGAGTTGTACGACCACTTGAACCATCAATTCAGAATAACTCCCTCCATGAGCAGCCTTGAAGCTCTCCTCTCAAAGCTACCTTCGGTGGTGCCGCCCAGCTCACAGTCACCATCACAGTTTCTGCCACCCCAGGCTCAGAGGCCATTAGAATTCATATCCATGGAAAAGGTGGCTAAGGAAGAGATTGACGGGCCTGATCAGCATGAGACCAGCAGTGCCATGTCGTTATCAAAAGGCACGCCGCAACACAACCAAGAATGAAGAATTTTAGCTAGGGGAACAAGGAATAACTAGTCTACCTTGCTCCCTCCTCGGATTATATGCATAAAGGTTAATTAAGTTAAATCCATAGCTGGTACTCATCCATCAAACAGTGCCAGTGCGGACATGTTTGTATTTCCATTTAGATCATTGACATTAGGAAAACAGACCTGGCCACCATTTTAACTAGTCATGATAATTGCGGTATGACCAATACCATGCCCCCATGTGCAGCTCTGAAAAGAGAGTTAAAAGAGGACAGAGGAGGAAAGGTTGCAATCTCCATTCAAGCATATACAAGAAATTATAATGAAAGGACTTGTTAGTCTCCATTCATTGATTAGCACAGCCTCTTACGTTTGAAAGGAAAAAATAAGACTATTGAACATTTTCACACACAAATAAATATGCATGGTTTTGGTTTGTGGGCAGGAAGAAAGATACTCAATGCGTCTTTCAATTATATTTGCATGTTTGATTGAATTCTCTCAACGCACGTACGCGCTTATGTGTCAATGGCGCAATTGTCTGTCCCACCTCACCATCTTGTTGTCCTTAACCTCAGAGACTGGCATTCTATCCCTATGATTAGAAGTCCCGTTCAAAGTCATCCTTGGATTAAACTAATTAACTACTCCTGACGAACTCCCTTTACTAATTATGAGATGAAATACTTGAGAATTTTCTTTAGTAAAATTTTCATTTCTTTTACTAATTAGCTTGATTAGCATTTTTACTTCTGTTTTGGATGTTAAATTTCTATCCAGTTTAGCACATTCATTGGTGAAGTAGAACCATATTGAGGAAAACATGGGGTGAGATAAGTCAATAATTATTTTCATGACTAAGAAAAAGTGGCGAGTTTTTATTAGGATAGACATTTATAGTGAAGGTTGTGCAATCAATTACGTAAGAGATCAGAATGACTAGAGAAGTGGAGCACTAAAAGCAGCCAGTTAAGTGGACATTAAAAGCAGCTAGTTAGTTCAAGTTGTTTGATCTTAAAATTTGATGGAAGGGTCCGGGCCCTGGGTGAGGCTGAGGCTGAATATTAGGGGCGGAAGTTATCAGAGACAATTTCTGCACGCTAATTATGACAAAATCAAATTCCTACTTCCTAATTCAACAAGAGGCATGGCAACTCTCTTGAGCAAGAAATTGGAACTGATCCGAAAGTTTTTGTCAGAACAGATAAGCCTATACACAAATGAGGTGGCAGCACAAGTGCAGTAGTAGGAAGTCAAAGAAGGGAACTTCCGAAACGGTGTTTGCTTTTTGCAGTGAAATGTTGCAGTTACTTAAAAGGCAAATGTTTTTCTTTCTATAATTTCACCATTTCCCCTTTTCTTCTGTTGGCATTTTGGACAGGTCCACCAGCTTTTGTAGACCAATATGGCCACCAACAATGCCTTCACGTGATGTCTCCGAGTTTATTTTGCTGTAAGTTAAAACTCCACTGTATTTTCTCTGATACAGTTCATTTACACTTTCTCATATTCCCAAACCGCCAAATTCTTATCTATCTGCAATCTTCCGTTGGAAATTAAACATGTACAAACCGTAATCATCCTTCCCTTCCAACTTCTCCATTTTGAATCTCTGGCTACAGTCATGATTGGTTTTCCACAAGCTCAGATACCATATTTTGTTACGAGTTTATATGATTTATTTGTCAATCAAATACGAACAAATCAAGGAGGGACAGAGAGAATCACAGAGGTTTTAAGTGGCAGCCCAAAGACTTACATCCATGGTAAGTATAGCAATTACTCGATCACTTTCTTGGAGGAATATTACAAATCAAAGGTATATCTCAACACACCTCTCTTACGGATTACAGGGCTATATATCATTTGATTATTTACTGAACTAACTTATTACAGTAATTTACAATTAACATAAATATTGGCATGTTATATATGAATTTCGAACTAAAATTTCTTCTCGAGAGATTCAAGAGCTCAAGAGGGCGTGAAGCCAAGTCCGTACAAAGCCCTCTCAAAATCTGATCGGATTATCATTTCCTCTTGAGAGATTGGATTAATTCTCAAGATGAAAGTGTATTTGAGAGTCATTACTATTAAATATAGCTTTTGAGAAGATGTGTGAGGTATCATTCCGTGGGGCCACATTATCAATTAAATGGTAATTGGTGCAAGACTCAAAACAGTGCCTCGGATTCAAAATAAAGAACAAATATACAAGTGTTGAGATTTAGTGTGAATAGGATGACACTACATGTACAGTTGATACAGATTTTAGGTGGGTGTGGGGTATTCAGAGATGGTACATCATTCCTACCTCCAGAGTAGACGCATGTGGTGAATTGAGGGGGTAGTTTGGTCCCTTGCTATTCCTCCTCAACAATTCATACCCATAATTAATTATAAGCTTTCTTATCATGCTCGATCCTTGCTTTGCTTTCGTGTGCGCGCGACCCAAAATGTATGCAACTCCTGCTTCCCTTGCTTCCATTAGCTCCTGCAGTTCCTCCATTGCTGTCTGCTCAATTTTTGGACTCTCTGGGAGAATAAACCTCACCCTCTTCCTCGGTGACCTTATTTCCCTCTGCTCCGATGTTCCACCGAACTCTTCATCATCCTCTTTCATTTGAATTCCATCCGTATGCGTACAACACGTTCCAACTACTGTCATTTTGTCATTTTCCTTCAAAATATCATCACAACTGGATTCCATGTTCTCCGACCTAATCAACTCAGCTATACTACATACAAGATCCTTTTCAAACTCTGTATCATCCTTGTGCACATCTCTGTATCCATATCGAACAATGCACCTATACAACCTAAACTCATCAGGCCCAATTCGACCAACTAGGAAACGCTCTTCAGGTTGAACGTGTGGAACTGGGACAGATTTGATGCAAAGAAAAACAAGGACCTGGTGAAAGGCAGGAAGGTTGGTGACGAAGTGTGAAAATATTGCTGGGATTCCTGACACAAGTTCAGTATGCACAATGCCAATCCCACGGACACGTACAATGCCCAGGCTGGATCCCGCACTAAGCAACCAATTGATTGAGACCTTGTTTTGAAAATCAAATTCGTACTTCTTCAGTGTCCCATAGTGCCAGACATACATAATAATCATGAAGACCATAGCAAGCGCGATGGGAACCCATGCTCCTTCTAGAAACTTAATGAGAGAAGCTGAAAAATACATGGCTTCAATAGAGCCAAAGAAGAGCACAAAGCAAATTGCAAGGACAACACTCCGGTGCCAGCAAAGGACAATGACTAAAGACATTAAGCAGGTAGTGACCAACATCACTGTGATTACTGCCAAGCCTGTTTGACCAAAACAGAAGAATATATAAAACCAGCAGGCTCATCTAGTCCAAATAATCAAGGAAGATATATATATTTCTTATAAGCTTAGCATCATGACGTGTGTTGCATCACATGAGAGACTTGAACGGAGTTTATATGAGAATATTCTTATTAATGGAAATGTGGAACCGCCAATCAATCTTAAAACGCTCAATCAATCGTGAGGATAATAGAATGTGCATTTGACCAAATCGGTATTCTTTCAGAATTTTTTTCACAAGAAATACCTCAATTTTAACAGGGGAATTAACAAATGCATGATTATGCTAATGACGTATTTATGACCAGGACCAACATGCAATCTTAGATATATCACGGTTTGCAAGTTGAAAATATGTTGTAGTTGGATGCCTAAGACAACACCCAGCAAAAGCATTTAGACCATCTCTTAGTTCTTTGTTAAATACCATACAAAAATTCAGAAATTCAACAATGTATACCGTCATTGAAGAATGGACGTGGATCACACTGATCGAGCAACAATTTTTAGTTGTCGTTTCATACCTGATGCATTACCCAAGCGCTTTGTATCTCTGAAACCAATTGTTACAGCCAGGCATAACAGCATCAAGATCCAATTTATCTCAGGGATATAAATTTGACCGTGCATTTTAGATGATGTATGAACTATTTTGACTCTGGGGAAGCAATTCAATGCAGAACATTGCTTAATGATCGAGAAAGTTCCAGTGATAATGGCCTGGCTTCCTACTACAGCAGCAAGTATGGCAATTACCAGAACAGGCCATCGTAACTTCTCTGGACAACAAAAAGGAGCACATATGGTCAACAGGAAGCGAACCATATGCTATAAATATTGTGCAAAGCAACTAAAGTTACCTGGAACAGATATATAGAATCCAATTCGATAATCACTTGGTATCGAATGATGTTGAGAAAGATAGGCAGCCTGTCCCATATAAGCTAGAACCAAAGATGGATAGACCATGAAGGTAAATGCCATCTGTCGTAAATTATTTTACAACCGGAGCTTCTTCAGAACATAATTGATTAGATTAAAGACAGATTGAATATGAACTTGAGCAAATGCAGTGATGAAGAAAATGTGGTTTCTTTTTACGATATGAAGCAAAGAAACAATCTTTTTCATGTTAGTCCAGTATAAATCTCGAGTGGGATTCATTTAAAAGATAAAACCAAATGCCAATACATACTATCATAATGCCCCATTTATGATTCTCTATGAAATCTGATAAGCAAAGGCATCCATAGCGTATATGCTTTGAAAAGTAACCTGGATGGATGATTGTGAAAAGTGTCCAAGATCAGCAAACATAGCTTCTGAACCTGGAAGGGTAAAGTGCATTTCATAAACTAACGGATCACTTTGCTTCTATTATTTCAAAAATTGTTAGACAAGCACTATTCACTTACCAGTTATACAAAGCAGAATCCCTCCTAGTGACATCCAACCTCCTCTTTGTGTTTTCTTCAAGAATTGGAACATATAATAAGGTGAAAGTGCTTGATAAACATGAGGGTTCCAGTGAATGACATTGTATAAACCAATTGCACAAATGCACAAAAGCCATGTTGTAACTATAGGAGCAAACAAGAATCCGACCCTGTGGGTTCCATAATGTTGAAGGGCGAACAAGCCTATCAGTATGATGCACGCAGCTGGAACTTCCACATCTGCAATATTATTAACGTTTGAGGAGGAACTCTTTCCTGGATCAAGCATGTTAAAATAAACTAGGAATAAAATTTTATAGATACATGGCTGCTGTAGGAACCTTAATGGAAACATGGATTAGAAGTTAAGATTGAACTATCAGAGATCTTTTAAATGAGCCTCTATGTGAACCCAGCCTACAAACCTATAGGCTATCCAATATTTTGTAGAATAGTATCTTTCCCGAAAAGCGAAACCCCAATCATTTCATGAGGACATTAACTTGAAAGATAATACAAAGATCATAATGATGAAGAACTTGAAGCATGTATGTCCAGTTAGTAGTGATTACTTCTGAACTTCGCAGAATTTCACTATATCCGTAGACACCCAACCAAGATGAAAAACCAGTTTTAATGAAAAGATCAAGGGACACAGCTCAACAGAAAAACGTAGCCTACAAATTTTCTACTCAACTTTCTGAGAGTTTAGGCTGTATGATTGTTAATGAATGTTTGTCAGACAGGATTACTCAAAAAATTCTCCACTAATGTAGGTATTAAACTCAAAAGTAACAAATGCTTCTAAGGTGTTTGATTCTTGAGGGCACAGCTCTTTCTTACATCTTGCAGCCTGGCTACTCCTTAAATGCCAAACGCTTCATTGGGCAAAAGAGAAGTAGCAAAATTGAATACTTCTTGTAATTTTATGGGCAGGCATCTTTTGCCTCAAAACCGTACCATTTCAGATGAATCAAAGTTGGCATATGATATTGAAATTCGTTTCATGCAATCATTTCCTCCAAGACACTCAAGTTGGTAGGTAGCTAAAGTATTACATAAAACATCAGCTCATCAAACATAAAAATTTAGATATTAACTCATATGGTGCCAATCTACCAAATTAGAGCAGTACTCTACTGTCAAGTTTGCATTGTCAGAATAAAAGCTATATTACACAAAATTATAACCTAATGCAATTGACACTACGTTTTACTCACTCACTCAGTGGGTGTGCGACAGGGAAAAAATGAAGAAAATTCTATAGCTATGTACACTAACATATCTGTTAGTTAAACTCAAGCTGCAAATTTTAGTTTTGAGTTCATCTAGTCCAAGTCCTAATTTCTAGGAAGTTGGTGTTATTTTTAGTTGTTCTCAAGTCAATTGATTTCCTATTTACTTAGTTGGGTAAGTTGCTAATTTTGTGGGGATAGTTGAGCCTATTTTTAGCATGAGAGTTTGTATTTATATGGAGCAGTTATGGAATAAAATCTACACTCCCTCATTTCTCGTTTCTCTCTCAACAATAAAAACTACAATATCGTAACATTTATTAGAACAAATAGATGAAAAGTTCATGAGGCATTGAAATTCAAAATCAAATACAGAGTAAAATCTACAAAGTATCTTTTACTTTGGGCAATTATACATATAGCAATCTGGCCTTTTTTCTTGGATAAGAAACAGAACTAAAATGATATCAAATCTAGCCTAAGCTAAAAAGACTTGCAAATATAGCACAATTTTCGAAAGACCCATCCACATATCTCAACCCCACATGCCTATCACTAATAATCATCTAACATTGATAAATGATAATCAATGATGTATAACAAATAGGCACTGATAGACGTCTATCACTACTAATTAATAAATCATGGCTTTCTACCAAGACAATTGGGAAAGGATTAAGGAGGATTTGATGAAAGTTTTTCGAGAATTTTTTGAAAGGGGGATTATTGACAATTCTATGAATGAAACTTATGTTTGCTTAATCCCCAAAAAGGAAAATGCTACTAGGTTCAGGACTACATGCCTATCAGTCTTGTACGAGCTTATACAAGATTATTGCAAAAACTTTAGCCGATAGACTTAGGCATGTCCTCCCCAGTACTATTTCTAATACGCAAGGAGCCTTTATTGAAGGTAGGAAAATCTTGCATCAAGTGCTTATTGCCAATGAGGCAATTGAAGACTACAGCAAAAGAAAACAAGAGGGAGTTATCTTTAAGCTCAACTTTGAAAAAGCTTATAATCATGTTGACCGGGGATTTCTTGATAGAGTCTTGGAAAAGAAAGGTTTTGGTTTCAAATGGAGATCCTGGATTTTTAATTGCCACCGGGTCAATTTTTCTATCCTCATTAATGGGAGACCCAGGGGAAAGATTCAAGCGATAAGGGGCCTGAGACAAGGAGATCCTCTCTCCCCTTTCCTTTTTATCCTCGTGGTGGATATTTTGAGCATCTTGATTTCTTCTGGTGTGGATAAGGGGGTTTTAGAAAGATTTGTTGTGGGAAGAGATCAAATAAGTCTTTCCCACCTTCAGTTTGCTGACGACACCATTCTCTTTTGCTCAAGGAAGGAAGCCTCTTTTAGGAACTTGAACAATTTGGTGTCTTTTTTCAAGGCCTTTCAGGCTTAAGATTAATTGAGGAAAAGTTCGCTTTTGGGGATTAATTGTGATCCCTCTAAGCTTCCTCGTTGGGCCCCTGCAGTAGGTTGTACGGTGTGTAGTTTCCCGACTTCTTTGGGCCTTCCTCTAGGGTGTAATCCTAAGACCCTCTCTTTCTGGGCCCCAGTGCTGGAGAAATTTCAGAAGCCTTTGTCATTGTGGAAGAAAAGTTTTTTCTCGAAAGGAGGGAGTTAACTCTCATTCAAGCGGTTTTAAGTGGGATTCTGACACACTATCTTTCTCTTTTTAAAGCTCCTGTGGTAGTTTGCAAGAGTTCGGAAAAAATCATGAGAGATATTTTGTAGGAGGGGGTGGATGAGGGGGGTGGGGCTCACACAGTTAGTTGGGGGACAGTTGCCAAGCCGGTAAAGGCTTGAGGCTTGGGCATTGGGAACTTGAGGCAGAGAAATGATGCGCTTCTGGCTAAATGGTTGTGGTGATCCTTCCACAAACCTAATGCTTTATGGCAAAGGGGAGTAAGTATGGTCCATACCTCTTCGAGTGGGTGGCTGGTGGAGGGTTTAAGGCTTGCCCGAATAATCCTTGGAAGGCTATCTCCTCTGGTTTTCCTTTTTTCTCTCAATTCCTCTCCTGTACAGTGGGGGATGGTCATGACACTTATTTTTGGGAAGACATCTGGGTGGGAGAAAAGCCCCTTTGTTCTTTGTTTCCTCGCATCTTTCACTTTTCAGATAGGAGGTTGCACTCGATGGCCTCAGTGTTGGGGAATGGGGGGGATGGGTTGTCCTTGTCCCTCGGCCTCACTCGATCTTTGACTCATAGAGAGCCTCGGGAAGTGTCTTAGTTGATCCACCTACTCTCTGAAGTTTCTCTCTCTTGTGATAGGAAGGACTTTCGTGCTTGGTCCCCTAACCCTTCTAGGGGTTTCTCTTCTAGTTCCTTTTTAACCTTTTATGTTCCCTACTACCCCCCATGCGGCCCTAGTGTTTACCTCGCTGTGGAAAGTGAAGATTCTGAAGAAGATAAAAATTTCCATCTGGCAAGTCTTACTTGGGAAAGTCAACACCATGGATCGTATTCAGAAGTGATCTTCTTCTTACTTGGGGCCGTATTGGTGCGTTCTTTGCAAGCGGGATTCCGAGGACCTCGATCATATTTTATGGCATTGCCAGTTTTCCAAAACATTTGGGGCAGGTTCTTTGAGATGTTTGAAATTTCTTGAGCTCGTCATAGAGAGTGGGGGTCGATGGTGGAGGAAGTGCTTTTATATTCTCCTTTCCGCGAGATAGGGAGGTTCCTCTGGCAGGCTAGGTTCTTTGGGATTTTGTGGGGGATTTGGTTGGAAAGAAACAATAGAATCTTTAGGGAGTGGAAAGAGAGTGGGAATCTGTTTGGGATCTCATAAGGTTTAATGTCTCTTTATGGGGTCTTTCGAATTTATTTTGTAATTATCACTTAGGTCATATTCTTTTGGATTGGAAGCCCTTTCTCTAGGCTGGCTTCCTTCTTCAGGGCTGTTGTTTTTGTATGTCCTTGTCTTTCTGTTTTGTTTTCATTTTTCTCAACAAAAAGTTCGGTTTCTTATAAAAAAAAAAATCAGTAAATATAACAATAGGTTTGGTATAAAACAAAGTCATGATCTTAGAAAAATGGACCATGGTTTAGAATCTTACATTTATGATGCTCTTTTGACATCGTAAACTCCAGCCCAGAGACAGCGGAAAAAACTACCACATACCCAAACAAAGACCAATTAGTTACCAACAAATACCTTGTGTTACCAACAAATACCTTGTGTTGTTTGTTATTCCAACATAAAAGAACCAAGAACAAAAAATCTATAATTACCAGAAATAGCAGGCGTTAGGATGCCATCGCCAATCACCATACATGTCCCAATCAACGCCAGAATGAGCAAAAATCTCTGCAATACCTTATACGTTTCTAACGAGGATTTCAGCTTGCATGCGAAGCTTTTTTTGGGTGGTAAAATTATGCTTTCCTTCTTGTACTCAGCTAGCTCCTCGTCTGCTGCTTGAACATTGGGCAGCGAGCTGACTCGGGCGTGTCGACACAACAATGAGTAGAGAGCAAAAGTCCCTCCTTCACCATTATCGTCGGCTTTGAGCACAATAAATACATATTTGAGCAAAGGGACAATGGTAAGGGTCCAGAAAACGAATGACAGAACGCCATATATCTCTTCGTTGGTCTTTGAATGCTCAATGTCTTCTTCAGCAAAAGTGTTCCTATACACGTAAAGAGGTGAAGTGCTTAAATCACCATAGACAACACCAAGACTTTGAAAAGCTAGAGTCAGAACTGTCTTCCATGATTCCTTCTGCAATTAAGCGATGCTAAATTAGAAACTACAAGGTGTTCTCATTCAAAAACTGTGAAGATTACGAATTAGTGCATAATTGAGAGATTTTGAGGTCACCTTGGCGTATTTCGGATAAACTCCGCTTTCCAGATCCATAAGCAGAGGTCTCAACTTTTTAATAAGATCATTGTTCGAGCGAAACCGAAGACTTGAGACAGAAAGCAGCGAATGCAGAAAGAAACGCCTACAAGTACAGCGCTTTGGGAAAGGAACGAACGAGGACGCAAACGAACAAAAGAGCGAGAGGCAGAGAGTGAAACACTTCCACTGTTCTATAGAATAATGACGATAAAAGCTGATCGTTTAAGAACCATCGAGCTTGCAGATCGATTGCGAGTAGGCCGAGAACATCAGAAATTCAAAACGAGCAAAGTTTGAAACAGAATTGAATACAGTTAATACAAAATTCGAAAAAGGAAAAACCCAATTCTGAAAAGACTTTTCAAAACAGGGAGTTGTTTGCTTAGCTTTGGGAAGGGGGGGTGGTGTGGTTGAGATGCATCAAAGAGGGCAAATGTTTGGGAAAGAAATACGTTTAGGATGTGATAAGAAACATGGTTTTGATTTGAGAACAGAAAAGCGTGGAAGGCAGGTGAACCACCACAAATGCAGACAAAGCAGGAAAACCAAACACGAAAAGACACAGCGGAGCGTCTGGAAGCAGGGCGTAGTGCGCTGCGCAGATAGTTCAGAGCGAGGGTAATAAAGTTGTTGATGTGAGAAAGAGAGAATGAGAGGGTTGTGTGTGGGGGTTCGAATCTTCATCAAGTTGAATCTGCCATTGCGTATTTTGAAGTATTTTAAGGGTGAGGTGGGGGAGATGGGGAGGGTGAAGAAGTTGGTCCGACTGCTATGAATTCTGGAAACGTAGCTGGCAAACACAAAGACTCGGGCAATTAAATCTTAGACTTATACCCTGTTTTCTTGTTTGGACTAGGAACGGGAAATTGGGAATTTTAAACTCGTCCATATTTGGAGCGAGTTGACTCAGTGGTAGCTGACGTAACTTTCACCATGTTATTGTGAATTGTTTTGTTAGTTGTAACCAACTCAAAGTAATATATAATCGGGATGAGGGAAAATGACAGGGGCTTCATTTTGAAAGAAACCCCAGTGGTAGATGTTCAATAGTCTACCCTTTGAACTTTCTTCCCCGGCAAAACTTATTGCGTGTATAAATATATATATGTAAGAGAGAGATAGCCATCATTTTTAGATTTTTAGTAGTCGTATTGATAGTTTGAATTTTGAACAAAGTTGACTGAGCTTTTCCATGTTTGATGGGCTATCTGTCTCGTCATTCACACACACAAAAATTAAATAATAAATAAGTGTTTGCAAAAATAGCAAAAATTAATAATTTGTAAAAGTATCTAACTACTCCTCAGCACCGCAAAAGCAAAAATTCAATGTACTCCTAATGGTCACTCAGTCCTAACACGGGCCCAATCCAACCCTTCAGCCGCTTTCTTCATTTTAACCTCATATTTGTTTCCTTCCACGAAAATCCTTCAGCTGCTATATCTCATTAGATAAAATGTCTTATCTTTTATGGCTTAGATATTTGTATTATTTAGCTCATATGAGTATTGATAAATCATTGATATATTTGATAGGAAATAGTATATTTGATTATATGAGCGTTCATCTAATCAACTATATATCTTATTTGAATGTTGATATATCAACTATATATTAGATATATATTATATGAATGTTGATATGTTATTGATATAATGTTGATATAGCAACAGTATACGTGATATGAATATGGATATACCTTATATATTACTTCTATTTACTATTTATTTCTCTTTTCTATGTTCAATTTCTATTATTGAATTGTGTTTTGTTATTTACAGATTTTAAATAAAATGTATGTCTTTCGTAACTAATTGTATGTATTATACCTAATATAAATGTTGATATCTTCATTTGTTATAACTAAAGGAGTAAATAACATTGATTTACCAGACTACAAATGTTGATGTATCAATGATATACTGATATGAATGTTTGATATATCAATAATATAATTGATGTATATACATTATTTGGCCAAAGCGAACATAGCTCAGCGGTAATTGGCATATACCTCCAACCATGAGGTCGTGAAAGTACAAAATACCAATAGCCCGTTTGATAACCATTTTGGTTTTTGATTTTTTGTTTTTGAAAAACAAAAACTATATGTTTGATAATCATTTGTTGTTCTTTTAAAAAAAAAACCAAAACATGTTTGGTAAGCATTTTTAGTTTTTGTTTTTAAAAAGTTAGAAAGTTGAAAATACATATTAGACACAGGAAATTTTATGTAGAGTAGAGATGACAATGGTGTGGGTGCTTCTGTCCCCCATTCTCGAGCTCGTGAAAATTTTTAGTCTCCGTCTCCACCTCGCGTTCTTGGATCCGAGAGATGTTCTCGAGAAAAATTATCGGTTTTATAATTATTTTATAATTATTTTTATAATTTAAGTATAAAAATGTGTAATAAATATATTTTAATTATTTAAAAAATAGAATCGGGGACGAGGACGGACTCGGGACATGCATTTCCTATTATTTTTAGGACGGAGTCGGGACATGAAAATACAAGTTTAGAAAGACGTAAATAAACTTTTGGAAGCTAGAGATAAATAAAAATATTTAGAAAAAAATAGTTAAAGAAAAGTTAAAGACAAAAAGATAAGATTTTTAGAGAAAAAAATAAGTTGAGAGGAAAAGATATGTTAAAGAAAAAAAAAGAAATTATAAAGAAAGAGGAAATAAATTTAGAGATAAAAACAATATTCAAAATATAATTTTTAGAGAAAATAAATAAACGCAAAGATAAATAAAAGTTCGAGTGAAAAAAAATTGAACGATAAAATAAAATATAATTTTCGAAGGAAAAATAGATTACGAAGAGAAGAAAAATTATAAAAGATCAAATTTTTTAGAGAGAAAAAAGTTAGGAAAATATTAAATTTTTAGAGAGAAATGAAATTGGCCTATTAGAAAAAGAAACAAAATTACATAAAAATTTGGAGAGAGACAAATAACAATAAATATTTAAAATATGAAAATTTTAGAGAGAGAAAAATAAAGTTTGTAATAAGAAATTTAGGAATAAAAAAATTTTAGAGTGAAAAATAAATTTTTTAAAGATAAATATGAGACAAAAAAAATTGAGTATTAAAAGAAAAAATCAGATTTTGAAAAACAAAAATCTGTTTTTAAAATTTTTTTTTGTTTTTGAAATTTACCTAAAATTTCAAAATGGTTTTTGGAAAACAAAAAACAGAAAATTGAATTGATTATGAAACAACCATGGTTTTTAAAAACTAAAATCAAAAACTAAAAATTAAATGATTATGAAACGAACCCTAAATAATCAATTTTCATATCAAATATTGAAATTCATTTTCCATCCAAACATACTAAACAAAATACAAACAAATCGAAATTAAAAAAGTCATTATAAAACATTATACAACAATCAAAACTTTTAAGTGTAAATATAAATCAATTTGTTCCCTCATTTAATCGTACTTTCAATATCAGAGGGGAAATAAAGGTATTAATTTGAGTAGTCTATGGAAGATATGTGCCTATGCGCCGTTAATACCAATCATTCAATAAGAAGACTCAATCAAAATTTTAGATTAAAAAGTCGACCAAAATAATCAATAAGATTACTTAAAATTGTGGGGCCACATGAATTTTCATTCCAAAGAAATGTCAAACCACAAAATTGTATTCCTACAATTAAGCCATGACAATTTCATCATTCTAATTTAGGCTATTACTTCAAATAAACAAAACTTTTCCACACAAATGGCATATCTAAAAGCTATCGAACCAATCAAAATACTTTTCAAAATTATGCAAAGCAAATATATACCTTTAATAGCATGTGTTATGGATGAGATTTTCTATCATTCAAAGGAATTAAAAAATGAAGATACGTGACCTTAAAATTCAGGAAAAGATATTATATATTCAAAAGAAGAAGATATCCGAATTCCACAATCCGATTCAATTTTTATAAATAGGGAAGTAAGTCAAATTAAAGGTATGTTTAATTACAACACTCTGCACTTTATACTCAACTATTCTGATTACTTAAGCATTGAAGTCTGTGTGACAGGAGCCACACCGGTCTTTAATGTCAGATTTGACGGAATTTCAAGAGGCCAAATTTCTACATCATGAATTCAAAACATTTAAATAGTTCGTAATAAAAGCTTTATCCAAACCTAACAGATATATTTTCAAATATTTCCTAAATAAATAAAATATCAAAAGAGTTTAATAGATCTGAAAAACTATCAGGTCGAATACTTTTCTAATATTATCAAAATCTAGATTTCAAATAGTAAGCAAAGAAATCTCGAAATCTACAGAACTTCAAGACGGGGAAATGTCCATTCTTTTTAGCACTAGAAATTTTCCACGTTCATTCCTAAAATAAAAACGTCTCTCTCCTCATGAATCAACGATATCGTGAATAAGTCTTATACACATGTATGACTTGTGACGTCAAACTTCACCGCTATAATATAAAAGCTCATCCACTTCATAATTCATATAATATAATATATATTCTTGGACGAGCTTTAGTTTTTTGCTTTTTGTTGCATGCCATGAGCATACTCTTTCTTTCATTTTATTTTATACTAAAATCTCACACTTCAGAAACGTATAAATCTGAATGAATGAATATTTGAACCAGACACCCCTGAAGCTGAAGCCATATCCAATGTTTGTATCGTATAATAAATGTATATATAATATGCCGTGCTGTGTGATGGCCTTCTTTTTTTAGGTCACTGTTATTTTCCACACTTTATATCTTAATTGTTCTTATTATATTAGTACACCACTAGGTTACGTATATATACCAAATGTCTCTTCTTTTTATATGTATTATTATATTTGTGGGGTTCGGTCTAATGGACAAGCACTAACTTGTAGAAGTGTACATCGACCAGTCGGGTTGGTTTTCATGCCCAAACCGTCGTTGACCAATCGAATCTATGCTTTCCTACCAATCGATCAAACAGTTGAATCTGTTACTTGGGTTGGGGTTGCGGGGGTTGCGGCGGTTGGCGAGAATTGAGGGCTGGGGAGGTTGGGTTGGACAGCAGAGGGTGAGAGCCAAGAGGACAGATCACATAAGGGAGACGAGAAAAGGGATCGAGAGAAGCGTGATTTTCAGATTTCAAACCCTAAGTCGAATAACATCCATGCTTGCTCACTTTTTACTTTCAGTGTCAATGGTATTGGTAATACAGTCAAAACCAAAACCAGTCGAATAACATCCTAAGTATTTTTTTTAAATGTTTTTATTTAAATTTATTTTTAAAATAATATTACATTAAATAAAATTAAAAAAAATACTTCTACGAGGTGACAGTTCAAACACATGACCTTTTGGTCATAATATGTGCCTTAACCACTTGAGCTATGTTCAGTTTGGCAACTTCTACTGAAACTTATTCCCATATATTGCCACGTCTTTTGTGGCCGTTTTTTCAAAAGGCTGCAGTCATGCTGATTTTTAGAAAAAAATAAAATATTATTCGATATTATATATAAAATAACTCTTTATTAAACAAAATTAGTTTTGGTGCAATGGATCTTTATTTTATTTTCTCTTTACGTCTAGAGTTCGAACCTTGGTGGATGCGTTTCTTCACTTTTTTACTATTTTCTTTTAATGTTAATCAATTTATTATTATTATTATTGAAAACTATAATAATTTTTCCTAAGAAGAATAATAATAATGTATTGTTTAAAAAATATATAATGTAATCATAATAATAATAAGTAAAAAGTTTTATTTACTACTTTTTTTTTAATGTTAATCAATTTATTATTATTGAAAACTTATTATAGATACATACATACATA